TGTGTGTGTGTGTGTGTGTGTGTGTGTGTGTGTGTGTGTGTGTGTGTGTGTATGTGTTGAAAACAGGGTTATCTTAGACTAATTTTAAGGACACACCCCAGTGACCACCCACCTTAACCCCGTGGACTTGCTTCGTAAAAGCTTAACCCCGTGGACTTGCTTCGTAAAAGATGCAGAGATAATGAAGTCGCCGTGGAATCTGACACCCGCCAATTTTTGGGGCTTTTTCATTTTATCTTGCTTAGACTTTTTTTTAAACCCTATTCGTACGCCCTGGGGGTCATTTTCTACCATCGGGAGTGTATTCTTCACATTTTAAAATACTTTAAGTACCGAGATCTTTTTGAAACTTTCAGTATTTCTAAAACAAATCTTATTGACAGACTGCTATGCGAAGCGTACGGATCGGATAAACGAGTAAATTTCCTCTTTGGAAAGTGGTGGCACGCACAGAGTTCCCCACGTCGTATGGATACGATAATAAAACTTGACGTACGGATAGGATTAAATACCCATCTGTCTTAAATGTGAGGCAGCGTGGTGAAATCATGCTCTCGTCAAAATAATCAAAGTGAAGAAACTTGCATTTTTCCGATGGTTTCTGAATTTTATTTTTTTTGGGGGGGGGGTTTTGCTCAGTGCCTTTCTTGCCCATTAAAGAATTCATTTCTGTGTGGATTTTTCTGAAAAACGTTGATTAAAGGCACAAAGAATGTAAATTTTCAGTTACCAAGGACTCTTAAGCTACCGAAATAACTAATCTTTGGCCGCCATTTTCTCACTATAATTTTACCTCTGAAAACAGGTGACCCCCACCTCCTTCTTTCGCAAATATCTCGACTTGTATTCAAGGTAAATGGGTATTTTTTCATCCAAATAAAGACAAAGGAACAAGCTTTAAGATGATACAAATAACTCTTCATGCCCAAAAATTGACGAGAGCCTGATTCCACCACACTGCATCACAAATAGAATTGGAAATATTTGCGATTGAAGGAGATAAATTCGCCTTACTATGATGTCAGAGGAAAAATTCGCAAGAAAGAAAGTGGCAGCCAAAATTAATGATGACTTCCAAAGCTTTAGAATCTTTGGAAACAGCAAATTAATTTTTTTGGGCCGTACCTTTGACCAATGTCTTCAGTCAAATCCACAAATAAATGTTTTATTTTTTAATGAACATAAATGAAGTTTAGCTTGACCAAAAAATAAAAAACCCGATAAAGATTGCCATACCGGCGGTAAAATGTGTGGGGGTTTTAAAATGTATTTTTCTACCTTTATTCTAACGAGCGTGTGATTTCAAGACGATGTGTCACGCTTATAATATACTACTCACCTCAATCACAGGATCCCCTGGGGAGTCTGTGGTAGGGGAGCCAGTGGGGTAGCCACCAGTTGAACCACCGTAGCCTCCCGTTGAGCCACTGTAGCCACCAGTTGAACCACCGTAGCCTCCCGTTGAGCCACTGTAACCACCAGTTGAACCACCGTAGCCTCCCGTTGAGCCACTGTAACCACCAGTTGAACCACCGTAGCCTCCCGTTGAGCCACTGTAGCCATCAGTTGAACCACCGTAGCCTCCCGTTGAGCCACTGTAGCCATCAGTTGAACCACTGTAGCCTCCTGTTGTACCACTGTAGCCATCCGTTGAACCAGTAGGATAGGAAGTGCTGCTTCCCACTTGCCTCTGAAACATGCCACGTTTCTCTGAGCCGGCTGTGGCGCCGCCCTCTGTCTTCTCCAGGGCTTGGAGAAGGAGCTTCATCATGTCCAGTTCTTTCTTCGTCAGACCTAGGGAAGTAAATGTGGCGTACCGTGGTGAAATCAGGCGCTCGTCAATATAAAGAAATCAACAAAGCAGGCATTTTTTTTTCAACTTGATGAGCAATTTTTGTCAATTTCTTTTTTTTTTTTGGGGGGGGGTCTCAACACCGTTCATGTCCATTAAAAAAACCTCATATTTCTCTGTGTATGTTGCTTAAAAAGCTTTATTAAGGCACATACACACTCAAAAGTAAATTTTCAATCACCATGGACACTTAAGCTTTGTAAGTCACTAAACGTTGGCAGTCATTAATTTCAGTCCTTCTTATTTTTATCTCTGAAACCAGGAGACTCCATCTTCAATTGCAAATATTCAAAGGTTTCATTCTGAAGTGATGAACATTTTTTTACACAGGTACAGAGCGGGAAAAGTGAGATAAAGAGAGAAAAAAGGGGGTGGAAGAGAAGAAGGGGGACACAGAGAGAACGACTACATATGGGGATAGGAAAGAAGGGTTGGACCTTATACATTAATTAAGAATTGAAGGCCCGTTTTTACCAATGATAGTACATAACAAGATGGGCCACTTCTCTCTTTGAGCCAATTAAAAAAGTGTCCTCAAAATTTGGTGGCGCCCTCTTCACAAAAGCGCACTCTTTGCGAACAGAGTTACCCTACTTGAGTTTTTAAAAAATCAAAGTGAAACTAGCAAGTTTTGGGATAAATTTCGGAAGAAGGCTTTTTTAAAATGGTTACGCTGACAAAAAACCTCTTCTGGAGGAAAGGGTGATGGTTTTCTTCGTTTAATTTGACTTTAGAATGAAAGGCGAGAGGTCATTAAAATTTTAAAAAACTAAAACTCCGCACTGAACGTACCCGAACTGCTAATGAACAGCAGTCGATCTGCGCACGCAAGGAGGTGCTATTCCTATTCTTCTTCGGGAAAAACGAAAGAGAGCTTCAAAACAGACTGCAGCGCCATCTGAAGCAAAGAGCATACTTCCTGCGGACACTTTTTTGGCTGAGTGGCCCATCTTGTTATGTACTATCATTGTTTTTACTTAGAGGAATACAGAATCGATACTTTTATCTATTTGTGGTGGTCGAATTTCATTATTCAAAAGGCTTTGTAATGGCTACATCGACTGACATGCGGTTTTCGCCAAAATATTCTTTAAAATATTCACCAGACCATGACGCCCTTCGTTTTTTCAATTTTGAGACATTTTTTTCTCAAAAAGCTAAATTTCTTTATTTCTCCGATCGCTTTTGTAGGCCGACGCTTCTGTCTCTGTCATTTGAGAAAATCCGCTAGGTTTGTTTATTTCAAGTCGTACTTCCGTTCGATACTATCGCGCATTGTCACGCAATATTGAGCACTATTAAAAGTGTGCGACCCGTATAGATCTAGCCTCAGGTTTTCTTTTTTGACTTGGTGCTAAATTCGATTGATGCCCATCATCGCTTTTTCTGGACTCCTTTGTCTATTACATATTTGGCAACTTGGAAACACATGTGTCACTTTCCTCACAAGATTTATTGCTCCATTCCTGTAGAGTGTAAATATAGTTGGCCAATGACTTTCAGTTGATGTTAATGCACCGATCATTCCTTTCATCGAAAGGGGGCCCATCTTGTAATAATCTATTATCTATTTGTGGTGGCCGAATTTTGCTATTCAAAAGGCTTTTTAATGGCTGCATCGATCGACATGCGGTTTTCGCCCAAAAGATTCTTTAAAATATTCCCCAGATCATGACGCCCTTCGTTTTTTTCAGTTTTGAGACAGTTTTGCTGCAAAAGGCTAAATTTCTTTATTTCGCCGACCGCTTTTGTAGGCCGACGCTTCTGTTTCTGTAATTTTAGAAAATTGTAAATATATCATAAGCCAATGACTTTCGGCTGACGTTAATGCACTGATCATTCCTTTCATCGAAAGGGGGCCCTGCTAGTATTATATAATTGTGGATGTTTGTTTTCTATAGCTGAAATAAACTACGGAACGTACAACCATGAAGAAATAACTAAAGGTAGTTCAAGGACCAAGCTAAGTTTTTATCAATTCAGTAAGTGCTTGCATTCGCCTAGAAAACTTAGAAAAATATAAAACATTATCGGCCTTTTTAATTATGATTTTCCCATTTTTCATGTCAATGCAGTGTTCAAGACATAATTATTTCGTTTTCCATGATATAAAAACTGAGACTTCCGTTCACATGCAATGCGCACTGAACCCACAATGACCTGACGATTGAGTCCCTTCATCGAAAGGGGTACCCAGCTAGTTAAACATAAGTAGGATTCGAAAAAAAAATTTAAATTTTTGAAATAATAAACTACTTTACAAATAAACAAATTTAGAAAGTAAATGAATAAACTGAACAAATAAGTAAATGGACAAATCAATCAATCAATCTAGCAATCAATGTAGTATCTGCACCCAACGTTTACCAAGAGCAACTTATAGATTATTTTCTCACAAGCCATGTACGGCACTCACGGGAGTTCCCAAAAGAGCGTCGCGAGTGGAAGGAGTTCAAATCCCTCTCTGCCCTGTCCACTATCGCCGCTCCCTTCACTAGGGCCAGCAGGCAGACGAATGCAGCCAGAAACATAACCGGAGCCTTCAGCATGGTGCAGGGAACAGATCTGTGGGGGTGAAGAAGAAGAAGAAATTAATAGATATATTATTACGTGGCATCGTGGTGAAATCAGGCGCTCGCAAAAATCATGAAGTCAAAATTAAAGAACCGGCCTTTTTTTTTTATTCTTTTGGCAATTTTTTTCGATTTATTTTGTCCGGGATTTTATTTTATTTTATTTTGTTATTTTATTTTATTTTATTAATTTTTTTTTTTGGGGGGGGACTCCGATCATTTTATATTCACTCAAAAACACAATTCTAAGTGGACCTTACTGATAAACGTCGATAAAAGGCACATACATTGAAATTTGCAGATGTCAAGGACTGTCAAACTTGGAAAGTCATCAAACTCTGGCATTTAATTTTTCTCTGTAACTGTACCTCTGACACCAGGTGACTTAACAAAATCAACAAAATCAACAAGAAGAAGAAGAACAACAACAACATCATCATCATCATCATCATCATCATCATCATCATCATCATCATC